CTCATTAGTCGCCGCGACCCTCCTAAGCATAGTCCTCTCAACCGGCCATTGGTAACTATTCGAAGCCATCTCCTCAAGAATCCGCTTCGCGTCATTTGGTCGTCTTCCCAAAAGAGCACCTCCAGCTGAGGCATCCACCATGGCCTTCATCGGGCCACTCAACCCATTGTAGAAGTAGCAAATCTGGTGCTCCTCCGAAAAACCATGCTGTGGGCACGTCCGAAGGAGTTGCGTGTAGCGCTCCCAAGCCTCATATAAAGGCTCGTTATCTTGTTGCTTGAATTGAGTGATCTCCGTCTGAAGTCTCAACATCTTACTCGGTGGGAAGAACTTCAAAAGAAATTTCTGACGCATCTCCTCCCATGATGTCACTGTCCCGGCTTCCAAAGAATTGTACCAAACATTCGCCTTATCTCTAAGAGAGAAAGAGAAAAGGCGGAGGCGAATAGCATCCTCCGGGACTCCATTGTACTTCACAGTACTGCATATCTCCAGAAATTGCGCCAGATGCGCATTCGGGTCCTCGATAGCACCTCCCCCAAACTGCTCTTGCTGAACCTTACGAATCAAGGATGGGCTCAACTCAAAAGTATTAGCGGCAATTCTCGGCCCGTGACCTCCTCCATATACTTGGTCAGCTTGAGGTTGGAAGATGCTCCGGACCGGTGGTCCTGTCTCCTGTTGAGCCTGCTGCTCGGCTAGCTGGCGTTGTAGCTCTGCCAGTTGCTCTTGGAGCTGTCTGTACCTCTCTTCACCTTGTTCCTCCATTGCACCTCTCAGTCGTTGTTGTAGTCTCCGGTTTGCGTTGTTCCTTCGACAACTAGCTTCAATCTCGGGGTTAAACTTTGCGGGTGAACTCCCACTAGACCTCGTGATCATGCAAGTACCTATTAAAACACACAAACCAAAAAGGATGCAATTGAGAACCAACGTATAAAACAAAAACAAAAATGACTAAAGTAATATCTACCCGTCTTATTCTAATATTAATTAATTCAACAAACAATCCCCGGCAACGGCGCCAAAAACTTGTTCGCAAAATATTTTCACTATCCGCAAGTGTACGGTATAGCTGTAGTGAGTGGCGAGCAAGGTCGTATTCCACAGAGATTGTTGTCAAAATTAACTAAGTATCAAAATGTAAACGATTAAATATTATTTAGTCTAATGCAAATTTGAATGGTGATTTTATTCTAAACTAATGAATGATTGCAAAATAAATTCTAACACTAATGAAGGCTTGTTCTAAGATAAATCAAGAATGAGAAAATAGATTCTAGGCTATGCTTTCCTCGGGATTATTCTAACAAAGATTAATTATTCATTCAAACCTTATTTAATTCTACCATTCGTAGGGATAATCACTAAAGTAATTTACACCTTTCTCTCGAACAAGTTAAATCGTAGATATTAATTGTTATCTATCTCCTCTCGGTCTCAAGATGAACAATCAACTCCCATAAGCTCCTAAGATTCTAGTTCCCTCGCAAGATTCTATCAACCTCTCGGTCTGTTTAGTCTCTTACGTTATGAATTTCCCAATTCTAGCAATCAACTATCTCCTCTCGGTCTCAAGTCAATCACAAATATGCATAAATACGGGCCCTTATATTCACACAATAATAATAAGCACAAGAAATTGATAAACGAATGATAAACCGGAATGAATAAACAAAATTACTTCATTAAATAATCCGAGTACTCGCAAATTCTAGAATCCCTAAAAGGTTTAGCTACTAAACATATTCTCAAAGCTCAAAATAAATATATTCATGAGTTCAATGAAGAAGAAAAAGAGAAAAGAAAGAAGAACTATTGTCGCCGTTAGTTCTCGGATCTTCAATCTTGACTTCCTCGAATCCCTCGTGTGTTTCGTGCTTCCTCTAGGCCTCCAATGGTGTCCAAAGTCCCAAAAAGGAGTTCCTAAGGCCTCTTTTATACTGTAGGGTCATTCAGGGTCGAAAAAGGGAAGAAAAAGCATAAGAATCCTATTCCCCGCAGGTTTGGTCTGCCGTCACACGAGTCGTGTGACATGCCACACGAGTCGTGTGACATTTCTCCAATTTTCAACAAACTCCCAGACTCACACGAGCACTCACACGACCGGGTCACACGAGTCGTGTAAAGCCACACGACTCGTGTCCCAACCCACACGACTCGTGTGAAAATGCCGTAGCTGCGTCTCTTCTTTCTTCAACCCACACGACCCGTGTCACTACCCACACGAGTCGTGTGACCTCTTCTGCACCCGTTTTCGCCGTTTTTCGTCCCGATTCCATCTCCAACGCATTTCCGGGCATATTTCCTGCAAAAACAACGACAAAAACACCTCTATCATAGTTTAATAAATCAAACAAAATGGTGCACAATTACACAATAATCATGGCCAAATATCACTATATATCACTCATAATGCATGAAAATATGATGAATGTCAAGCATGTGGCGATTGGCTGGCTGTGGGTGCTGCTCGCTACCACCTTGTTTACAGACAAGAGTGGTAACAGGGTCAGTCCCAAAATCCTGCACGAGATAATGGAGGACCTGCAGAGAGTTGGGACTTACTCGTGGGGCTCGGCAGCACTGGCATACCTATTCAGACATTTAGGTATGGCCAGCAGGGGGGAGTCGGGGGGAGTGGCGGGCTGCTTGACTCTCATGCAGTCCTGAATATACGAGTACTTCCCCACCTTCCGACCCGCCAGTTCGCATATGGCCTCCGAGCCTGACAACTTGGCCCGATCAGCCTTGTGGAGGACCCCCATCCCAGATAACTCAGATAAGCGCCTCAAGCATTTCCGTAGGCAACTTGACAGGCTCACAGCCGCCGAGGTACGTTAAGTTATTTTATTACATTTACTTGAAAGTTATTTAGAATACTCGAATTGTTTGAATAAATGTTTTATGCAATTGTGAACAGGTAAACTGGCTGCCATACGGCCCCAACCCACATTTGCTGGAGCCTAGGACCCTTTATTCCGAATGCCTTAGGTACCGGGATATTGTGGAGCCGTACATGCCTCTGCATTTCTTGCGTCAATTGGGCTACGTCCGGACGATCCCTCCCCGCATGGATCGTCCAATCACTGTATTTCGTGGTTGGAAGTCTAGGATGTATTGGGTTGAGCATGCGGCGGGTGCTGCAGTAGATTACTGGGATCAGTTCCCTCTACTGCATTCTGTACACTTGTCTGATTTTACTCTCACCACCGCAGATGATCTAGGGGCGGCCCATGAGGACTACCAGTTCATTTATCAAACGAGCCGAGTCGAGTTCATCAACGGCTAGTTTTTTTTATTAGTTCTAGCTATGATAAAATGGTAATATATAAATATATATATATATATTAGTTTTCATCGAAAGGGGCACGTAAATATGATGGTATTTAAAAAAATGAAAACGCAAGTAACAAATATCTATGAATAACTTGGTATAAACTATTTGGCTCTTATAATTTGTATTGGCAACTATTATAACACCTGGATGCGCCATCGGGAGCGCATTTACCAACATTTTTGGCGCATATATGTCCAGCGCGGCACAACTCAAAGCAGTCTTCTTATTCGGCAAGAAGGTGAGAATTAATTCGAAGTCATTTTCCTATCTTCTTCTCCAATTATAGCACCTGACGTTTTCTAGTCAATGTATCTAGATGATTCGGAATTTTCAACGTAGAGTATCAAATTAATCGTTGTGATTTATCAAGTTTGATAATTGACAAAAACTAGTCATGTATCATTCTTTAAAAAAATTTATATATTTAAGTGGATCAACCATAATAATTTCTAAGAATGTTATTTAATTAGAGTAGGCTCTAAAAAAATTATTTTCCGACATGGGGAAATCATGTATGATGAGAGCAAATTCCACCTACTGGGGTGGTTATGGCCTTTACTGGATTTTTTACCGCTGGATTACATTACACACATTCATACGAGTATGTCTCAATTCAACTGATGACAGAAAGAGGCTATTGATGACTAGGGGTCGTGAGCAATGGTGTGGTTGTGTGAAAAACCGCAACTAACAGCAAAAAATCGAAAAAAGAGAATTGAAACTATAACAAATATAACCAATTGCACGGCATCAAAATGCACGATTCCACTCGATTTTCGGTTTTATCACGATTTTTCTGTATATTTTATTTAATTTGATGCGATTCGATGCAAACTGCACTGAACCGAACAAACCTTAAAACTAAACTTATAAAAAACAATAACCGCACCGCAATAGAGGAAAAAACCGAATTGAAAATTTTTGCATTTGAAAACTGAACCGAACCGCATCAAATTGCACAGTTCAACTCGGGTTTTTAATTTTGACTCGGTTTTGCTACCCCTGTTGATGACAGAAAGAACACAATAAATCTAACTGAGTACATAATTAAAGTTCGTATATCACGAGCATCTCTAATTTCCCATTAATTTCTCACGAATTTTCTACCGAGATTGATTTATTATCGTAAAATAGAACACGACGGTGTCATAGTTCAAATAACAAAGAAAAAATCGAATCGGGAGTTAACAATGAGGCTTCTTACGTATGTCCCCACTGCATGGCTCGTTCAGATCACAGCTTTCCGCGCAAAACTTTTTACAGCAATCAGCACCCTTATTGCAGTAACAATCGCACAAATAGTCGCCTTTGCACAGAAAAATGCACTTGTTTAGTTCATCTTTCGGGTGGAAGAAATTGCCGCCATCTCCGCCACCTGCCGCCAGTGAAACCACCAGCAGCTGGACTACTAGCATGGCTGTCAAAGTGAAGAAGATGCCGCCGGAGCTTTTCATCTCTCTCTTTATGTGAGGGTTTTTGTTTTCTGTCCTCTTTAGATTAATAGATTTGATTTATAGAATTTTTTAGTTAGAATCTGATTTGATTTAATTATATTTAATATCTTGTTACGGATAAACAAATCGTATGTTATTTGTTTCCCCTTGAAATCAAATTACATTTATGAGAATTTGGAAATTCAAATCAGCTCTTTAAGATATTACCCAAAAAAGCGACAATTTCCATTTTCCAATCACCGAATAAAAAGGACAAATAATTTTTCTCACACAAGTCCTAATGTCCGAGGACAAAATTTGGTAATTAAAAAAAGAAAAAAATAAAATAAAATTACAACACTTTCCATTCCAAACAGGTTAAACAAGAACAACACTCTTTTAACTTAGGTACTTGGAAAATAATCTTGAAAATTCATAATAAAGTAAAAGGATCGGCAGTTAAGAACTCATCCATGGAAACACATTTGGCGATGTGGGCAGTCGAGCAGTGAGAACCTCGACTCCTGTATCCGTCACCTGCAATGTACGAGCAATTTTAGTGCTCTAGTTTTCGCCTTTGCTAGTTTTCTAAACTATTTTTACTTTAGAATTTAG